CCTGTCTGACCGCAGCTGGGCAAGCTCACTTAGCCACAGAACACTACTTCTTCTTCACCTAGACCTGCTTCACAGAAGACACCGGGGACGCTGCACGGCCTCACCTCCCCCAGAGTCAGGCTCAGCGGGCCTGTTCCTTGAGCATCTCGTGTTCCCTCTGAATCACCACCCACCTCCCACAACTGACCCTTCAAAACTCAAGCCTGGCACCTCCTTGGGCAGCTCCCCTGCACCTCCGATCTGCACTGTGTGGCTGGCCTGTCCACAGGCCTGACCTCAGACCCGCGGCTCCCGGGTGGCCTGCTGGCCTCCCCAGGGACACATGGGCCAGCCCTCCTGGGACCGTGCCTCCTGACACCTCTCCCGGGCGCACGGCAACCTCACCGCGAGGCTGCAGCATGCTCACGCAGCGCCATCGGACACACGAGCATGCAGCAGACCCCCGTCTCAAGAAGCGCCCCCGACCCCCTCACCAGACTGCTCTGCCTATAGATATGCCTTTAGTACAACTGGTCACTGCCAGTTACTCTGTGAATAAAATTCACACTTTACGGCAAGACAAGAATGATTCAGACATGAAACAACTGTCTCTGCCCTCTGGCCCCCCACCCCCTACTGTGCGGTGTGTCTGACTTTCACACAGACCTCTGTCGGCAGAAACTCCTGCTCAACTACATGTAGCAGCAGCCCCAGCCCCGACGAGATGGCCCCTCAGAGCGAGCCTTCCTTCTGGACGGGGCCGTGAGGATGAGCAGACCCAGGACATGTCAACCGTCAGCACGACATGGTGTGTGTGCACGCAGCCTGGTGCCCCAAACCTTGCTGAGCTGCTGTGCCAGGACCTCCAACGGGAAGAACCACCCTCAGAGCTTCCCGAGATGGTCTTCCAGGTCACACTCCTCCAGTCTGGCTCCAATAAAATCCTGCGGACTGACTGTTGATGTGACCAGTCGAAGCACAGTCCGCATTTTCTGCCGGAGCTTGCAGACCTGGACCCCGCGCGGCAAGCGCGCCCTTGCGGGACTCACCTGCCACAGCGCTTGCAGCATTCCCTGCAAGGGTGTCTCTGGAGGGGACCGTGGCACAGAAATGTCTCAGACCCCAGGCTGGACACATGCTCCTTTTCAAGGTAGTTTTAAACATGTTTGTACCATGCTGGCCCCCAGACTTCCAGAGTACACACCTGGTTTCTATGTTAGACTCTTGGCTTGGGATTTCCAAACTGCATGCGTAGTAAAAATAGCCCAAAGGAGATTTTTTTGATGATAAAGACTACTGTAAGCACAGGGAATTACATTCAGTATCTTGTAATATACTCTATTACTATATATTACTATATTACTATATTCTCCTATAAAGGAGAATAATCTGAAGAAGAAAATAACATAAACATACGTATTCTTCAAAATCTTGAGAAAAAAACTTAAAAACATTTTTCCATCCCTGCCCAGACCCTTGCCCCTTTTCTGGAGCAGGGGCCGGGACCCGGGCAGCCCAGATGGGCTCCTGCTGAAAGGCCTAAGCCCACTCAGGGCCACAGCCCGGCATCCCGAGTCCATACTGGGAGCAAAATCCACGCCTCCAGACCCCAGGCCTCAGGCTGCCCCGGGTCACGCAGACCATTCTGGCTTTTGGGGCCTCCTCACATCTGCCCCCTGGGAGCTTCCTTTCCTTTTCCCCGCTCAGGCACACTCCACTATGCTGACCAGGGGAGCAGGGTCCTTGTGGGCCCACCTGCCGCGCTGCTGGAGCTGCCCCAAAGGGGCTCCTCGTGCCCTCCCCGCCACGGCCACAAGCCCCCCCGCCCCCCATGCCTGCAGAGGGTCCCAACGGGTCGCCTCACCCCCTCCCTCCCCACCATCCCCGCCCCGTCCACTCCACACGCAGCACTGCAACCAGAGCTCAAAAGGCAGAGCTTTAAAAAATACAAGTCAGACCAAGTTATTACTAGTTTTTCTTTTGGCTAAAATCTTCTATGGACAGATGACCAAGAAATTCTACGCTAAGGTATACACCCAACAGAAATGAAAACATATATGCACGCAGAAACTTGTACCTGAATGTTTCTAACAGCCAAGAGGCAGGAACAATCCAGATGTCCAGCAACTTACAAATGTCACACACAGTGCAGGAGAGCCATGCAACGGACAGTGTTCACCCACAGAAAGAAGACAGTCCTGACACACACCCCAGCATGGGAGAGCCTTGGAGACACCAGGCTGGGGAAAGCAGACCACGCGCAGACTGCACTTTGGGGCGACACTTTCAGATAGGGACCCCCAGAGTGACCGCAGGACGGGGAGTGTGGAGACCCAGGGCTGAGAGCCAGGGGCCGGGCTCCTCTCCAGGTGATGAAAGGCTCTGGCGTGCACGGGTGATCGTACCTGCGGACTCGCACGCTGGGTGACTTGCACCTCTGTAAGGTGTTCTGAACACTCTTCCCGAGGCCGATGACGGCTCTGAGCGGAAGCCCGCACTCCTCGCCAGCTGTGGCGGCCGCCCCTTGCAGCCCCTGCCTGCCCTGGGGCTTCAGCCCGGACCACCCGGGCCCTCACCCTCCGCACATAAGTCTCCTCCAGGGTCTCTGGAGCACAGGGCGCCTCGCACACGGCCCCTCTGCAGGGCCTGCATGCGCTGCCTGGAGTGTGCACCCCCTCCCCGCAGCTCTCAACAGGGCGGGCCTCGCACTCCTGGCCTGACTTTCTCTGACCCCTCAGACGTCCTCTGTAAGGCCTGTCGTCACAGCTCAGAGTATGTGTAAGACACTTTGACTTAATTCTTTTATACTCGGCGCTCCTTGGTGAAATGCACCCACATTCCACACGGCACGTGGTACGTGGCTGTTACTCAGTAAATATTTGTGGATTGCATTAAACTTCTGAAACAAGCTCACAGTCCGCAGCAGGTTACTGCTCAGAGGTTCTAAAGCCCCAGCAGACAGTCACCGTGCCCCCTGCTCTCCCTGCGGCCCCCGAGCGCTAGTGGCGCAGCCTGCATCGCCTGGTTGAGCCGCCCTTCAGGACCCGTGGTCCCGACGGTGGATCTAACCCATGTTGCCTGTCTCCACTCAGGAGCAGTCTTCAAAGGGAGTTTCTTTTCAGCAAATGAAAGATTACATTTGCATTTACTTTCTGGATGAAACTAACAGTATCTAAATTACATCTGAACTATGAAATACATAAACATTAAATACTGAAGATTTATTAAAAATTTCCTGGCTAGAAGCCCATTATAAGATGACAACTGTTGGCTCTGCAATCTGTTAGCCCAGAAAATAGAATCTCTTCAAGTTTTATGTAAATAAATGAAAAAAGGAAGGAAAGGAAGAAGAAAAGCACTTTTTCAACTTACTTTCCTTCCATTTCGTCTCAAAAGACATGTCTTTGAGCTGTCTTCACAATAAACAAGTATTTAAAACGTTTAACTCCCTATATCTTATAGATGAAAAGATGCTCTGACATGCTACACATATACACACATTCACAAATACAACACTCCTTCTTTGGGATATTCAAAATAAAATGAAGTCAAACCGGAATCTAAATTTTGGTAAGATTTCACTTCTTTTTATAGTCTTAAAAAAAGGGATAATTATGGCTCCAGTCTTCAATTCCCAAATGGAATGCATTCTATTTTTCACCACCTCTTCAAGTGGGAGAAAATGGCCTGTCCTTTTCAGTCATACCTTCCAAGGTCTCTCAGGCCCGATGCTTAGTTCAGTTCAGTTGCTCAGTCATGTCTGACTCTTTGCGACCCCATGGACTGCAGCACACCAGGCCTCCCTGTCCATCACCAACTCCCGGAGCTTACTCAGACCCAGGTCCATCGAGTCGGTGATACCATCCAACCATCTCATCCTCTGTCGTCCCGTTCTCCTCCCACCTTCAATCTTTCCCAGCATCAGGGTCTTTTCCAAGAGTTAGTTCTTCACATCAGGTGGCCAAGCTATTGGAGCTTCAGCTTCGGCATTAGTCCTTCCAAATGAACACTCATGACTGATTTCCTTTAGGATGGACTGGTTGGATCTCCTTACAGTCCAAGGGACTCTCAAGAGTCTTCTCCAACACCACAGTTCAAAAGCCTCAATTCTTCGGTGCTCAGCTTTCTTTACAGTCCAACTCTCACGTCCACACATTACCACTGGAAAAACCACAGCTTTGACTAGACGGACCTTTGTTGGCAAAGTAATGTCTCTGCTTTTTAATATGCTGTCTAGGTTTGTCATTAACTTTTCTTCCAAGGAGCAAGCATCTTTTAATTTCAAGGCTTCAGTGACCATCTGCAGTGATTTTGGAGCCCAGAAAAATAAAGTCTGTTACTGTTTTCATTGTTTTCCCATCTATTTGCCATGAAGTGATGGGACCAAATGCCACGATCCTTTTCAGCCAGCTTTTCACTCTCCTCTTTCACTTCCATCAGAGGCTCTCTAGCTCTTCTTTGCTCTCCACCCTGAGTGTGGAGTCAGTTCTCTCAGCTCCTCTCTGAAGTCTCTGAGGTCAGCTCTTGGCTGCTCCCTCCACCCCTCCAGTGAGTCCACAGAACAGCCAGCCACTGACCCCCGCCCATTCGTGATGCACTGCCCACTGCCTTTTCTGACATTCTTCTCAAATTAATCCCCACCGTACATCGAGCTCTGCTTCTCGGAGCCTTTTATCACATCCCTGCTCTTTGCTGCCAGAGGTCAGCACGGACCACCCAGTGCAGAAGCAAGACCCTCCGCCTGCTCCAGCACCAAGGGGAAACTGGGCCTGCGAGGGGCCTCTCTTTCTCATAAGACGAAGAGAAAGAAGAAACGCCTCTATCCATGACAGAAGAAGTACATATGTTAAATAATCAGAAATAATTAAAATCTCCACCAAAAGTCTCTGAGAGGCAAAGTACAAACCCAAGCCATAACAGAAAGCTCCGTTTCCAAGAAGTCTCTGAGCTGGGGACTCACTCGGGCCACCCACCCCACGCCTACCTCAGGGCGGAGCCCACAGGGGGCGGGGGTCACACACCTCCTCTTCTCCCTGGTGTCCACAGAGGGCTCGGGGCCAGGGGCGCAGAGCAGAGTGGCCGCTGGAACCCCATTGGCAGTGCTGGGCGGGGGGCGGTTTGTGATCACACAGAGCGGGCTGCTGCAGGCGACGCTGTCAGTTCTCTCCGCCGTGGAGTCTGCCTGGGACCTGTAAGGGGTCCTAAAATCAAGAAGGACAGAGCAGAAAGGGAACGGTCAGCAGATACACACACACAGAGACAACACCGCCCTGGGACCTGTGAGGGTTCCTGAAGTCAGGAAGGACACAGCAGAAAGGGAACAGTTAGCGTGCGCACACGCACACAGACACAGCACCGCCCTGGGACCTGTAAGGGGTCCTGAAGTCAGGAAAGACAGCAGAAAGGGAACAGTCAGCGTGCACGCGCACGCACACACACATATCCAGCACCACCCTGGGACCTGTGAGGGGCCCTGAAGTCAGGAAAGACAGCAGAAAGGGAACAGCCAGCGTGCATGCGCTCACACACACACACACCGCTGAAATCAGGAAAGACAGCGGAAAGGGAACAGTCAGCGTGCACGCGTGCGCGCGCACACACACACACCCCCACCCACCCAGCACCACCCTGGCAGAGGCAGAGCCTTGAGGTGGGCTTGCCCACAGAATTTTCTTGCCCAGAATTTGTCTGTGGTTGGTCTGTTTTCTTAATTATGAGCACTTAAATCTTACAACAATAGTTACACTTTCAATCTGACATCTTCTGCCTAAGGAGTTATGTTTCAGGAAAAAGGAAAAAAATTTTTTGAGATACAAAAAAATTTCATTTACTTAGCTACGGCACAAGCAGTGACACACACGGGCGCTCCGAACGCCTCCTGAGCACCACCTGCTCTCCACACCTACACACACCACGCGTACACGCCCTCAGCCCCAGGCAGGCAGCCCCGAGGGGTCGCGGCCCACACCAGACCCGACGACCGTCTTCCCAGATCTCCCAGACCCGCTCGGGAGCACCCTGCAACCTCACCTAGCAGAGCGACCGCTCTCTCTCCATGGAGCCAGTGCCTGACTGTCCACACTCACAACTGCAGACAGGAGAGACACAGCAGAAACTAAGAGGATCCTACGTGCAACCCTGAGACAGACTTCCCCTGGCAAGCTGTGCAATTACACTCATTTACATGAAAACAAGATCTTTGTTTCTTAACAAAGACTGAGAGCAGCCATTGGTTCTGCACCCAAAAAGCCATCGTTTGTGATGTCACAGCTTGTTGCTGGGGTAACAGAGACCCAAAATTGATACTCACAGAAATGCGGAAGCAATGGAAGTAATAAATGCTAAAAATCTGCTTTTTTCACCTACTTGCAACTACCACAAATGCTTATAAGTAGCTCATTTTCAAATAATCACATTATAATAAGCTTGAAAGAATGATCAGATCATAAAACTATCAACACGGTACTTAGATGCAAGGATAAAAATAGAACAGTTCTGAACTGGTATCTAAAAAACACAAGCAACTTCTCCTGAATAGCAGCTCAGGAAAAATGTGAGATTTCACATTCTTTTTTTTTTTTAAATGAAGGCAAATAATTCCTCAGGCTTACAAGATGTGTAAGTCTCTAGGAAGCACTAATAAAATTAACCAGAAAAAAAGGTATAAAAAATTTACAATCATCAACAACCTTACATGAAGTTCTTTTTAGTTAATCACATGCTTTGGTCGCTGCAATTTCTCATGCCGGAGAATGCCAAGGCTGTCCTTAAATCACAGAATATGACTTTTACTATTCTGAAGTGCATAATTTTACAGACTGTTGGGAAAAGCTCTGGGGCGGGAACTAGAGGCTTTGGAACCACCTGGGGCCAAGCTTAACCTCTCTGATCTCTTGCCCTCTAAGACAGGGATGGTGATGCCTGGAAGTGCAAGGTCTTATGAGATTAAATAAAACATAGCCTGTGGAACACTTAGTATAGTGCCCAGAATAAAAGATAAATTCAGTGGAAACAAAAGAAGTGAAAAGAGAAGAGCCCCGGCACACACAGATCTAGGCTCCAACCCACCTTTGTTCCTTCTGGCCTGAGACCGCGGCCAGATCGCTGCGCTCTTGGTCTCAGATTCCTCATCTATAAAGTACGGCCGCTGCTCACACACTGGAGGGCTCCTCAGGACCCAACAGGACACACCCACATTCACGCTCCTCACTCCAGGCCCCTATAGCTCAGGGCAGCCATGTGCCGTTTAAGGATCCACACACCTCAAAGTCTCCCTGGCTGCTGGAGGGAGCCCGCGAGGCAAGAGCAGAAAGCTAGTGCTCCGGGGGAAATTCTCGGTCAGAGGCATTCCCTCTTGGCAAACCACCCCCTCTCCTCCTCCTCCCTCAGTGTCCTAGAACAAGAACTCGAGCAGCTACTCTGAACCGAGAGGCAACCCCTGGAAATGGAAGCTACGATCTAACCACTGTGACTCAAGCCATGTGCCAGCCCTATCTCGTGACCATCCCAACTGAGAGGAAAAGTGAAGATTCATCATACCTGAGTCACTATTACCAGATGTACTGTACGTCTGAGTGAACCAAGTCCTGATAACTCTGTTCAGCACGAGCCCCGTGCCTGGCCCAGGCTAGGGCTCAACACAGGGACAGCTGCTAAGCCTCCTCCCCAGGCCACACTCTGAGCTTGCCAGGAGCCTCTCTGCCTCAGCATAGCCACGTGTGGGGACAACATGCCTGTCCCCACAGGGCTAGCGCCCTGTGCAAACACGCTGTCACAGGGCCTGGCGAGTGTGTGTGCGGTCACGCGAGGGCTGTGAGTGGCACCCAGCACCGCGTTGGGAGGAAAGCGTCAGGTGGCCCCAGCATGGGCCCAGGCAGCACTGCCCTCGCTGAGGCTTCGTCTCCTGCACCAGCTGCAGGGACAGAAGCAGAGCAGGGCCCTGGCCGCACCCGGGGAAGGGCTCTGACTAGTCACACCAGCTACGGCCGCAGGGGAAGCTCCGCGCCGCATCACATGCGGAAGGGCCGGGCGCCAGGAAGACACGACCAGCGCCACGGCCCCGCCCCCGCAGCCCGAGCGCGTCCAGAGCAGGACCGAGCCTCAGCCCACCGGGATCTGAACGCCATCCTCCAGAAAGACACACAGAAGAGTCCTACTGAGAATTACAGAAAATGTAAGTGAAAGATGGGATGTCTGTGACCTCCAACTCACCACAGCAGTCCGACCCTGGCCTTGCAGGCCCAGCTGTAGGGTTACTGAGGCGAAAGCGGTCCTGTTAAGCTGAGGCCTGAACGCCCCTCCGCTGACAGGACAGGCGGCTTCGGGGCGGCACCGCCGGCCTGAGCTCGCCACGCCGCACCCGCAGGCCCGCCGGCCCGCCGGCCCAGCCGCTTGGCTGCCATGGTGCGCGGAGTGGGGCGGGAGGTGGGCTGCCGGCTGCCTGGGGCGGATGACCCCCAGCAAGGAGGGGGCAGCAGGAGTGGGCTGCAACAGGCCGGAAAGTGGGGGCGGAAGGCCACCACGTCCAGCACAGGACGCACTGCAGAACAGCACATGGTCACGCCCTTCAGGATACGTGGCTCAGCGCCCGCCCAGCGCCACCTCCCCACCCAGCTGGGTGCTGCAAGCAAGCTGGCCAGAGGAGGGGACGCAACCGCTGGGTGTGGAGGGACCCCCCTGACCCGCACTGGGCCCGCAGCCAGCAGGCCTCCGCCCATCACCCCGCAGAGGGGAGGACAGAAGAGGTGCAGCAGGAGGAAGCAGAACGCTTGGACGAGGTGGGCCGGAGACGGCAGACCAGAAACAGCTATTTCATTAGGACAAAACTCCGACCACCTCCAAGACAGAAAGTCATGTGAGCCCAGAGGCCTCCCTGAAACAGAAGCACCGCTGCAAAAGCTTGGAGACGCTCTGGAGCAGAGACTCAGCACAGAGCGCAGAGCAGAGAGAGGCCAGGGCGCCTCGAGGGGTCAGGGGTCCACGTCTACACAGCAGCACCCAGTGGGCGGCGGCGCCCAGCTTCTCTGCTCCACCGAGACATGCAACAGCCACCTCAACTGCTGCAGGCGATCATCTGAGTGAGAATTTATTTAAAAACTTGACTATAACAGCAAACTGCGCGTGTGACCTTAAACGGTCAGCAAGACTTCTTGGGCAAAAGACGCATCTTACTGGACTGTACGGAAGGAATTTCTGCCTAAAAAATAAGAAGAAAACGGAAAGCGGAAAGCTTCTGAGAGCTGGCATAGTCCAAGAATGACAAATACCTACTCACGCTTTCTGTCTGAAATAGTGCCTGTGTATGATTCTTTCCTTTTGAAAGATCATAAAATAAGATTCGCTCTCTCAGACTCGCTTGCAGAAGGAAGCATGTTCCCGCCCTACAGAGAAGCAGCCCTCCCCCTACCCCAGCTCTCGGCTCACCAAGACTATGCAGACGACATCTGCCCACCAAACACTGCTCCCTCCATCCGCCCGCTGAGACGTGGGCGCGGAAGCCCCAGCCTACCATGGACAACAGTAGGCCTGAGCAGTGAACACACCCTCACCTTCCCTATGGTCTAAGACGTTATTCTCCTTGAGAAGTGTTCTTAGCCTTGGATCCAAGGAGCAATAAAGCATCTATTCAGATTAAGGCCTCACCCATGAAGGCAAACAGGCAACAGCCTCAGTAAAGCCAGAAGCACGGAGGCTGTAGGACAAGCTTCAAGTTCATCCCTGAACTGGACGGGCACACTATCCAAGCTGAGCCTTCTCTTACAGGACACGCCTGCAGAACCGAAGTTTCAAGAGGCAACAGTGGCTCTCTGATTTCGGAACGGTGCCCACGTTCTGACGTTAACTGGCTGATAAGATTCTTCCAGTCAAATGAAAATAGTTTTTATCCCAAACACAGCCTGTGGCCAAAGCCTGTATCTAGGGTAGCCAACCAATCACCCAAACACCTAATGATGAAGACTGTGGCACGAAGAGGCAGGTGGAGGGGTTAAGAAAGTGGGAGTGAAGAGAGAATTCAGAAGAGGCCACGAGAGTCAGTCTTCCACGTGAGCAGCAAAGTTTAAGCTGAAATATTAATTGTGTCTTACAGCTTCAGGGCTCTGGCAAAGCTGCGCTGCTCGCTGGCTGGCACGTGGCAAAGAAAGTAACTGCAGAAAGGGGCATACAGATGAGAAAGGGCAGGACGCCCGGGTACCTTCTCTGCACACACTTGCGACTTTCACATCTTGATGGATCTGAGGGCCATTAAAGTCATAAAAAAAAAACAACAACTCAAGTCCCTGAATAAACAGGCTTCAACACAAGACTTTTAAATTAAAAACTGTCCCCACCTCCCCTGACACCCTCTGGGCCCCTCCCTGCCTCCCCGCTCCCCACGGGGGACTGCAGATGAGGACAGGGCTTAAGTTCAGTCAGGCTCAGAGCCTGTTGGAAGCCATGACTGGCTGCAGATTGCCCAGGACTGAAAGGGTGGAGTGTGTGTCAGATCTGTCTGTGGGGAGAAGTTGGAATTAGCGTACTCTAATTCAGTTAGGAAAAAAAATTAATTTTAATTTAAAATTACTTAAAATGCTAATTCCAAGAAATCTAAAAGCAATTTACTTTTTGATTCACTTTTGTGATGCTAATTGGGTGTAAAAAGGCATGCAGGTACTACCCATCTGTCCACAGCCAGAATGAGGGAGCAGGTACCTTTTCAGGAAGGTCGACACGAAGGTCGAGGGAGCGCCCGTCTGCGGGGTCTCGCTCCCCTTGGCTGCGTCCCTCCAGGGCTGCCGGGGCTGGGAGCCGCTGCGCACCAGGTTAGCAGCCGACTCTCTGCGGAGGCGGGACAGACAGGGCGGCACTCAGGCTGCTGTCTATGCAGGCGCGCGCGCAGCGAAGCAACACGCGGGACACCCTTCAGGGTCTGCGGACTCAGCAGCCCCCCGTGCAGACAGAGGACCGGCTCGGCATCTGTCTGCTCGTTCACCCACTTCAGGGCCAGCCTGCCTCACTGGGGACCACGGCCGCGCTTCCAGGCTCTGGAGCTTCTGGAAGGAGCGGTCACTTTGCTCCTCATTTAGAAAGGCTGGTGGGTCGGCCCAGGGCAGGTCACTCCAAGCAAGCAGAGCGGGGGTGGGATGGACAGGACGAGCGTCCAGAAGCAGCAGCCCCTCCGCTCACGACAGAGCGCACGCCCCGGAGAGGCTCACCCCCAGCTGGCAGCTCGGGGCCTCTGCCTCCCCAGGTCCCCCGGCAGCCCTCCCCTGGCGGGGACTGTGGGCAAGTGCAGGCCACTCCAGCAGGCCTCTGCATCGCCAGCACGCTGCAGGTGGTGCATGGGCCGCGAGCAGTGGGGGGGTGGGGGGGGCGCGGACCAGGCCCTGAGGAGCCGGCTCCAGCCCACGGCGGCTCTGAGACACGGCGTAGGTCACACTTCCCACACTCATCTTAACATCGACGTACAAACTAGCAGCTGCTCGACTCCATTCCGTAACAAGGTTTTCAGTGCTGCCCACAGACGGGCTGTGAGCTGAGACCCGTGTGGACACAGAGCCCCTGTGCACAAACATGAGCCCCCTGGCAGGTTGGGGACCCCGTGCTGCACCGAGGGCCTGCGGGGGTGGGGCTGGGGGTCCCGGACGGGGGCACGGAGCACGACAGTACCTGTTCTCCTTCTCCTCGAGGTCGCTAGTGCTGCCCGGCCTCCGCGGCCCCAGTGAACTCAAGGAGCTTCTGGGTTCTCTCTCCTGCAAAGTCAAAACAAGTGAGGCACAGAGAAGGCCACCCTGACACCGCGGGGCAGCGAAGCAGGACTTACACACCTGCGTGACTTACTTCCAGACTCAACACCATCTCCGGCTCGAGAAGGGCTTATTCCCAGCTCTCCTCCATTAGACACCAACATGTAGGGAGAGAATTCTCTCGGAAAAAGGCGGGGTGATCAAATAAGGGAACAGCAGCAGTCCCACCAAAAAGGGACTTCTGAAAAGCCACAGACAAGCTGCGTTCTGACATTCTTTGCCTTGAAAGGCAGCCACAGGTACAACACACGGGCTGACACCTTGGCCGAGTATCTCCAGAAACACAGGGCTGAGTGTGGAGGCTGCGTTCAGAGGAGACCCGGCCAATCAGACAAGCCGGCAGCACGACCCGTGACGCCTGGACCAACTCGGACCAGGAACAGACGGCTCCAGTGACAGCAGCTGAGGGCTCAGCCGCGTACACCCGTCAGTCAGGGACATGGACACGGAAGTTTGTTTTCTAAGTGCTCAGTTGCCCGAGCTTCATCAGGATTGAAAGCCCAACTAAGGCACTCTGCCTCTGAACACCAAGAGAATAAACCACTGGTGCTGGTTCAGAGAACGTCTCAGGCCACCTCCCAGGCCGCGCGTCCTCACTTGCATTTCTGCCCCAGGGGAGGAGGGACGCAAAGAACGAACAGAAGGCCAGCCAGGCTGAAAATCATCACAAGCAAACAGCCACGTGGTGATCCACCCGCCTGTCTCCTTCTAAAGGCTCCGTACTTCCAGAACCAAACTAGGGACTAGAAACTATTTCTACATGTCCCCGAGGTTGAACCGCCATGGAACACCACCACACCTTTTCTCTGCTGTCCATCAGGGCAGAGATGCGGGGACTGGAGGCCGAGCGGTGGACGGATGCGCCCCGGTCCCGAAGGGCCTCCCTGGCCCCGGCGGCCTCGCTCAGCACGTTCTGGCTGCCGGTCTTCCTGAGGCCCAGCCTCCATGAACACGGAGACTCGTCCCTGGTCTCTTCCGGCTTGCTGAAGAGACTGGAGGGCTACGAGGGAAGGGGCACCAGAGGTCAGGTCCCGCCGGCTCCTCCCACCCTCGGCTGAGCGGCGAGGGCAACGTGAGGAGGGCAGGGGGCCCACAGCAGGCCAGGTGCCATGGCCACCCTCCCCTTGGCAGCCCCCAGCCCCTCCCAGGGCGCCCACCCAACAGAGGACCCACCGGCAGGGCGAGTGCTGACACGGGGCCCGGGGACAGCAGCCCGCCCCTCTGCACGCCTCCACCCTCCCGCCTGTGAACCTGGCTGAGCGCTGACCCTCCTACAACACGTGGACCCTGGGAGACACGGGTGGTGGCCCCAGCCCTGTGATGGGACTGTGAGCTGACTTAAGGAACACTGACACAGATGCTGCAGGCCTCTCCACCCAAATTCTAACTGCTTATGTCAAGGAAACAGCTTATCTGATACAGGTAGCAGTTCTAAGCATTTCAGATTTCAAGGAACAGCAAAATCAAAAAGAAAAAAATGGTAGAAGTTATAGGGTTGCCAGGTTTTAAATTCTGCCAAAAGAACAGCTTTCAAAAATGAATCACCATTTTCATCACCATCACTTCATTAAAAAGTAAAGGCAGCGTTGGGAAGAAACGTTCACGGAAAGCTTCCTCTGTCCTTAAGCATCTCATCCCCACAAGCCACAGAGCGACTCAGAGACCGGGGTCCGCCCGAAGGCAGGCGGAGGCTCGGCCTCCCCGGGGCCACCAGCCCCCGGCGCCCCCGGCCGCGGGGCCCTGCTGGGGCGCCGCTCTCGCCCCAGGACCAGGCCAGCTCTGCTGCTGGCACAGCGGGACGCAGCAGAAGCCTGCGCCGGCTCGGATCTGCTGCTCCAGCACCCGAGGGGCGGGCAGAGGCGCCCTGTGGGTTCTGTAACAGCCGTCTGGACCCCCCCGGCACCTTCCGAGCCAAGCGGCACGGGTGTGTGTCGGTGGCGTTCTTAACCCAGTCCTTTTCCTCCTAAAGAGCGGGTGATCCAGTCACACTCCTCACCATGGAGGACCACGTCCTGCCGGTGCCGCCCGACGGCTCACGGCAGCGCCCGGGAACGCGGAGAGGCTGAGCCTCTGCCTTCTGGTCCCCACGAGGACACCGGAGCCCCACCCACGAGACGCCGAGGGGGCCAGCGAGTGAGGGAGTGTCTGCAGAAGTGTGGCGCTTCCCAGCGCCTCAGCCAAAGCACACGCCAGCTCCCCCACGGCAAGCCTCAGGCTGATGAGGCCAGGGAGGCCGCCGGCCTTGAGCCCCTCCGACCTCCGCTCTCCCGCCAGCAGCTGCACAGACCTCACTCACGGAGGGAGAGTGAAGACACGAGTGGGCGTCGCAGTGCCCAGGGTGCGCCCTGGCCGGCTTCCGCCCAGCCCGGCCTTGACCCACGCACCCCAACCTCAGACTCGGAGACAACAGGCCACGGGCAGCGTTTTCCTGGCCCCAGGCCACCAGACCTTGGGTCACCTCAACACACTGTGGCCAAATTGCCTGGTGACGGTTTTTAAGTTTTCTACACACATGTGGGCAAGTCATGAATGCAATGCTGCTGTCCACCCCCAGACCCACATCCTGACGCCCTGACACGCAGGGCAGCTGCATCTGGAGACCAGGGGGTCGTCTGAGTGCCAGAAAGAGAGCCCTCACCACGGACCGAAGCTGCCAGCAACGCGAGCGCGGACTTTCAGCCTCCAGACGGTGGGACACAGACCTCGACGTGTGAAGCGCCCTGTCTGGGCCCCTCTTACACCGCGACGGGAGGCATGCGGAGAGGCAGTACACGAGTGCAATGGAACACTCGGCCATGACAGCGCCACAAAAAGGGATGAACTAAGGCCATCTGTGGCAACACTGACGGACCTAGAGATGATCTAAGTGGAGTCAGTCAGAGAAAGACAAGTATCACGATACCACTGGTATGTGGAATCGAAAAAAAAAAGATACACATGCGTCTGTCTACAAAACAGACAGACTCACAGACAGAAATGAACTCATGGTCACCGAAGGAGGAGGGGGCGAGGGGCGAGTAGAGAATTTGGCGCTAACATGGATACACCACTATCCGTAAAGCCGGAGGAGGAAACGGCAACCCACTCCAGTATCGCTGCCTGGGAAATCCCACGGACAGAGCAGCCTGGCGGGCTACAGTCCAAGCGGGTCGCAGAGAGGCAGACTCAACTTAGCGACTGACGGGCAGAAGCACGCGGGCAGGCCAGGACCTCCTGGGGGGCACTGGCGCCCTCTGCTGTGACAGTCTGCAGGGAAATCTGGGGAAGAGGCACATCGCGCATGTGTGACACTCACTGCGCCGCACACTGCTACCAACCGCGCTCACGGGAGGAAAACGGCGCGAACGTGTCTTTAGGGGCTTTACAACTGTCTGTCACCGCGACGGGCGCAACATCTGGATCAAGCGCACACTCACTCTCCTGGCTGAAGAGGCGGGGACGGCGTTCTGCGGGGGTGCGGGGGTCTGCTCCGTGACGCTGCTCCTGCCGTCAGGGCTGGGACGGCTGGGGGTGATGGCGCCCGGCCCGTCATCTGGTGTGAAAGACAGGAGAAGCAACAAGTGCGTTAGGAAACCCTTACGCATGCCTGTGCTGCTCTAACACAAAAGAGGTACCCATTATCAAACAGAACACCAGGGCCACGTAAGGCTTAGATTCCAACCACGATGAAACCTCCGGCAATCCCTGCCTCTTACAAGAAAGCAGGCTCAAGTGAAATTCTGTCTTGACGCCACTTCCCACATGAACAACGGACAACCTTCTCACTATACGTCATACATACAATTCATCAGGAAGTACAAGCAGAATCCACTGAGGGGTTGGGCAGAAAAAGCCAAAGAAAGTACAAGACAGACCTTGCTTCCTAGGCAATTAGAAAAAGAAGCGATGAGATGCACAGCAGTCACGGTGACGACACAAGGCCAAACACATCCAGTGCAGAGGGGGTTCAGAGAGGAGCTGCCCCTCCAAGGGCAGGAAGGCGGGGCAGGCGGCGTGGGGGGCCGTGGCGGGGGGACAGGAAGGCGGCAGCCCCCGGGGGGAGAGCGCTCTCAGGGGCTCTCTCGGCGGGCGCTGGGAGACATAAACAGGAGGGCTCCCTCCTGGGGTGCTGACAGAAACCCTGTCTGCGTGTGCCCAGGGCCTGCTGCGCCTCCGGTCCCTGGACCCCAAAGGCCCAGCCCCCAGATCCCCCGTTCATAAAACGTCACAGTATCAGGCCTGGCAGCGAGGCAGTCTTCCTGGGCAGAGATGTTCAGACTGCTCTGAATATTCACAATAACCACAAAAGCTGTCCCAGGGCCGGCCCAGTGAGCCTATATCCTGCATGTGCCCCCCACCCCCACACTGACTCCAAGCCTGACCCCCGACTGTCTGTGGCCCCTGGCACAGAAGCAAATGGGACACGAGCAGACATGTGAGGAGCTTGCCCTCTGATCACGGCTGGAATCCAGCTGCCACGGGGAGAGCAGGGCTGCGGGCCTGATGGCCCCTCAGGGAGAAGGCCCCCCAGCCGCGGGCCAGCTCACCGCAGGCTTCAGTGCGCCTACACGGATGACAGGGAAGCCGCCCGGTAGACGCCCCCCAAGTCACCCAGCCGGAGCACTGGTGCGCGCACACAGCTCTCCTACTGCCCCCAGGCTCCGGGCTGGCTTGTTACGCAGCAGCGGGTCACTAACACAGCAGAGGCTCACGGCAAATCAGAACGAGAAAAGGAAAAACAGAACTCCAAGCCAAACTGCTCACACCTACCTCAGAACATCATTGACACTCCTCATAACCACATGTGTGTGTAACACACACAGAAACCATCATTTCATGAGGCTCTACCTGTGGTCAGGGCCTGCTAGGCCTGCGTGGGTCCAGGCAGCACCTGGAAGGTTCGGGCAGAAGCCGCCCCCACAGCCCCACCAAGTGAGTGCTGAGCACCTGTCCTGCCCAGGACCCAGCGCCAGGAAGGTCAGCAGGCCACGGCGCGTCCCCAAGCGCCCGTAACCCACTGCTGGCGGAGAGCAAACTCACGTGGAGGCTAAGCCATCCAAGTAACAGCAGCTCCACCCGCGGGAACCTGAGTCAGAGGAGAAACCCTGTGCAGAGACGACAGGACGGCAGGATAGCGGGGCTGCGTGGGGGCCCGAGTCAGGGGAGCGTCTCGGCCAACAGGGGACACGGGGAGCCCGGGACACACTGGCTCCCGGGACTGGCGAGGGGGCCCCAGGTTAGGAGAGCGTCTCGGCCGACAGGGGACATAGGGAGACCGGGACGCACTGGCTCCTGGGACTGACGAGGGGGGCCCTGAGTCAGGGGAGCATCTCGGCCGACAGGGGACATCGAGAGGCCCAGGAAACACGGGGAGCCCAGGATGCACTGGCTCCCAGGACTGGCGAGGGGGCCCCAAGTTAAGAGAGCGTCTCGGCTGACAAGGGACATAGGGAGACTGGGACACACTAGCTCCCGGGACTGGCCCACGAGAGCCCCGGCCTCCTTCCCACTCCTGCCTCCCCTACGGTGCAGCTCTCCTCAGCCCCACCATGGGGGCCAGGCCCTCCCCAGGTTCTTTCTGCGCGTCACCCACCCCGCTGCTCTGAGCCCCAGAGTCAGGGTCTCGGCACACCGCCCCCCGCTCTGAGACCTCTCAGCTCACCTGTGGGGCCACCTTCCTGCTTACACACAGCGTGGTGTAAGGAGTAAGTGAGCACACTTAGGGTGTTGCGATTAAAAGCACCAGGCAAATGTGAAGCGCTGTGCCCGTGCAGACGTATGCAGATGCGCTCACGGGAGGAGGTGCGCTCCTTGACCTCGGCCTTAATGTGTCGGGATAAACCCCAACCTCATGGTCCCCTCACGAGGGGGCACGGCCGGCTGCGTTTGCTGCTCACTCACGCACACGCCCTCCTACTCTCTGCATGCCCAGGACACACTCAGCAAAGCACCCATGACTGTGCCTGCCCATCCCAGGCCAGGTACAGGCAGGGACCTGGGAGCAAGACCCCCTGAGGCCCCAGCCCCGGGTCCTGGCCACAGCCTGGGGGGGTGGGGGGCGCTGCCGGAGGGCAGACGGTGAGAGCGCTGGGCAGGGGCCTGCCTGCAGCTTCCCCACAGGGAAAGCCCGAAGAAAGACTTGCTCAGCCTGGCAGGCCTGACAGCCTCTGAGAAGTCACACAGTCCACTCCCAGTGGCAGAGCTGAAGCCCACGGCACAAGCACCTGTGGGGAGGACCCCGGGGCCCGTGTGGGAGCTCTAGCAGCCCAGGACAGCTGGCACACGTTGGCCTTGGGGACAGTGCAGCAAAGGCCAGCGGCAGCCTGGCAGGAGAGGTCCCGGCGGTCGGGCCACGGGGCTTCGGACCCCGCTGCAGGCAGAGCCGGGAAGGCGGCGCGGGAGGCTCTGGTGGGGGAGCAGCGTGAGCGGCGTGGAGCCAGGCTGCAGGAACGAGAGGCCTGAGGCCTGGGCAGCTGGGGCCATCGGCAGCTCAGGCAGCGGAGGTGGGGACCGGGCACAGAGAAGCCTGGGCGCTCGCTCCAGGCAACACTGGAAGTCCCAGGAAAAAAGCAAACTCTGGGAAGAGAAATGCACACACGGCTGACGGGCTCAACACGGGCGCGCCTGGAGCAGGCTGTGCCTGCGACTCGCGTCTCAGGGGCTGAACGGCCTTCTTCTGCCCTACAGGCCAAGCCGCTGCCCATCTGCTCTACAGAAGTGAGAGTCCTGAACGTCCTCTGAGAGGCCAGACGCGGACAAGGGCAGCGCTCCCCTGAAACTGTGAAATCACATCAGTAAAGGAGACTCCCTCACAGAGCAGGTGCCAGGGACGGGCAGGCTCTGGGGGATGCGGGGGGGGGACGCAGACTTGACTCTTAGCCAAGGCGGGCCTTCCCCCTCACCGAAAACTGCGTCTTCTCAGAACACCTCTGGAGGGGAACACATGGTGACCGCAGGCCCTGGCCTGTGGAGTCTCAGCTCACCACGAGCCCCCAGTTATCCAGGAGAGCCACTGCCACAGGCAGACCCACTCAGCAAAACCCGGCTCTGCCAGGCATCCCCCTGCCTGCGAGTAGACCCCGGGCTAACCCGGAGCCCGGCGTCCCGTTCCAGGCGTCCGCCCGCCCACAAGTGGAGACCCCGGGCTAACCCGGAGCCCGGCATCCACCCGCCCACAAGTGGAGACCCCAGGGTAACCCGGAGCCTGGCATCCGCCCACCGACAAGTGGAGACCCCGGGCTAACCCAGAGCCTGGCGTCCGCCCGCCCCGAAGTGGAGACCCCGGGCTAACCCGGAGCCTGGCGTCTGCCCACCCCGAAGTGGAGACCCCGGGCTAACCCGGAGCCTGGCGTCCACCCGCCCACAAGTGGAGACCCCGGGCTAACCCGGAGCCTGGCGTCCACCCGCCCGCAAGTGGAGACCCCGGGCTAACCCGGAGCCTGGGGGCCACCCGCCCGCAAGTGGAGACCCCAGGCTAACCTGGAGCCTGGCATCCACCCGCCCACAAGTGGAGACCCCAGGGTAACCCGGAGCCTGGCATCCGCCCACCGACAAGTGGAGACCCCGGGCTTACCCGGAGCCTGGCGTCCGCCCGCCCCGAAGTGGAGACCCCGGGCTAACCCGGAGCCTGGCGTCTGCCCGCCCCGAAGTGGAGACCCCGGGCTAACCCAGAGCCTGGTGTCCACCCGCCCGCAAGTGGAGACCCCGGGCTAACCCGGAGCCTGGGGGCCACCCGCCCGCAAGTGGAGACCCCGGGCTAACCCAGAGCCTGGCATCCGCCCGCCTGCAAGTGGAGACCCCAGGCTAACCTGGAGCCCGGTTTCCACCTGCCCGCAAGTGGAGACCCCGGGCTAACCCAGAGCTTGGCATCCGCCCACCCGCTAGTGGAGACCCCAGGCTAACCTGGAGCCCGGCGTCCACCTGCCCGCAAGTGGAGACCCCGGGCTAACCCGGAGCCTGGTGGTCCGACCGTGCTCAGCACCCCACTCTCACCGCATAGCAAACTTAAGGCTCTCAACACGATGTGTATCATCAAGAGTTAGAAAGGGAACCAGGATTCTACTCCTTCTTCAGTCCCCAGCCGGCAACTACAGGGGCTTCACGCGATGAGAAGGGAGAAGAGGACGGTTTCAGGCCGCTGTTTGGGAACCGGGCCCCCCAGGGCCGCCGCCACCTGCCTTCTGGCGCGCGGTGGCCCCCAGCGCTCCGCGGACTGCCAGCCTCGGGGTCCCCCGCCACCTGCCTTCTGGCGCGCGGCGGCCCCCAGCGCTCCGCGGACTGCCAGCCTCGGGGGCCCCCGCCTCCTTCCCGGCCTCCGACTCCGAGGCCGCGTCTTCCGCCTCGTCCTCCTCGGAGCTGCAGCTGCTGGGCTGTTTGCTCCCCTCCTCCGTCCGGTGGGACTTGGGTGTCTCCTCCGCACGGAGCATCTTCTCTTTGCTAGAGCAGAGACGACAATCGGAGCATCACTCAGAGAGGAGAGACCACTGTCTAAGCTCACGGTGGGGCTGGCAGAAGGGGGACAAGCGAGGAGCCTCTGTGCAGAAGCAGCACACTGCAGCGCACACACCCTCCCTCAGCTCCATCTGGTGTCCGACATGGGGCCTGGCTGTTCCGCACACAGGGAAACAGAGGGCTGCGGCTCCTCGTGGCGAACGGGGTGACCGGTTCTAACTGGTCACTTAACAGGTGCTTACTGGGTGATCACTGCACGCCAGGACCACGCGAGACGACGGGACAGGGGCAACAGAACGCGTGGGGCCCCAGACTCAGAGCTTCTAGTTAGGGAAGCAGTTGGGACTAACAGCCCGTAGCTGGGAGAAAAGAATCACACACGGTCTCCAATACTTCACAAAGTGAACACACATTCACCCACTCACAGGTCTCCCCCATATCAATGCCACCCACCTCCTCGCCCCTCAAACATCCACCCACGTTTAAAGACCATCTGGCTACAATCAGGCGCGAGTCTCTTCACTGTAGGAATTCTCAAGCCAAGCACGTCGCACGCAGCGGGGCTCCAACCCGAATATCTTACTTCTTAAAGAGTCTACTGTGCAGCCTGCTGTTCAAGTCTGATTCGATGAGCTTATTCCGTGTCTCTTTCTCACTTCGAAGCTGGAAATCGAGAAAACAGAAAAGGGAAGATGTTGACTGCTGGGAAGGAATCAGCAGTGACGAGGACACCGCACCAGTGGGGAGGCAGCGCGGGGGGTGGCGGGCGCAGCGGCGGGGCTGCCGGGAAGGTGAGGACGGAGGAGAACCCTGGCAACAGAGCTTCAGGGACAACAGCCGCCTAAGCATCCAAACCTCGCTCTGAAGGGAAGCGCCTGGGAGAGAACGCTCTGTGATCCCGACGCTGAGTTACGGCGGCAAGGCTTCCACAGAGAAACAGGCGCCAAGTGGGAAGTGAGCCCTTAGGAGAACCTGCCCAGCACTTAGAGACACGCTCCAGACAACATGTATTTATATCCCCGGACCCCAAAGTTATATAGGGGCAAAGGCAGGCACCACTCCTAGGAGTGAGAAGATGTTATTTAGTGAAGATACTATTCGTGTTCAGAGACGAACCACACTGGGTAAAACATACATGGAAACTCTCTACTGTATTTCTGCAACTCCTAAATGAGCCCCCAAACTATTTCAGATTAAAGTATCTGTAAAACAATGAACACCGAACTAACTGTGAAAACCGCACTCTGGGATTAGCAAGGCTACTATATCTCAAGCGGCTGCCACTGCTCATCGACAGGGACCACTGACCTGGTGCGTCTGCGCTCTGGGGCCGGGCTCCCCAGTGAGGCCTCTCCCATCCCAGCCCGACGGCGCTATGCGCCGGGAGCCCCCTGCTCTCCCCTCAGAATGGCTCTGCATGCCCTTCTGAACCCGACCCACAGCCCCGCAGAGGAGGACCCAGCAAAGCAAGAGCGTGACCTTCTTCTGCCCCAAGGGGAGCTGCTCGAGCCGTGCAGTGACCGGCTCCATCCTCCCCCCTCCCGACATCCCTCCTCCAGTGCAGTGAGACTCACTCCCTGCTCGCCCCTGCCGGGGAGGGCTTCCACACGGCACCTGGACGTGGGCACACGCCTCCATGGTCCTCCTGAGAGGCACTGCGCCACGGGCCCAGGAGCAAACCATCACACACTTAGGAGAGGAAGGGAGGGACTGTGGATATCCGATGGACCTGGGCTAGGTATGAATCACTAACCAAGCACCGGCCCACGCCAAATCTCTGAGCTTCATGAGTTTGCCTGCTTTTTAAGAAAGAAACACGTTCCTCCCGGTATTCAACCTCCTTTAAATAAAGAAGTCCCTTCAGTCAGTAAGGAAGTCATGAGACATCCTCACCTTGGTACTCCCCGTTTGGAAAACACTGACTCCAACACACCACACTCACTTCCTAGAACCCCAGGGTAACCAGAGTCGGTCATGGTGTTTACCTTCCAGCTGCTCTCAGGTGACACGAGACAATGAGCTAACTTGAGCAACAATGATTTCTGAGACATTTCCTCTAACAGACTGTGGACAGTTCCTGCAGAATAGTGACCGCTGCGGGGATGCGGACACAGGCCTCCACGGTGTGGACCACGGCCTGCCCGCAGACTCACCACGCTCTGCTTCTTCTGCAGCGTCTCCAGGTGTTCCACCAGGCCCTCGTCGGCCACATCGAACGGTGTCTGGCCCTGGCGAGGAGACAGACGCAGCAGTCATGCGCCTCCACCCGGGAACAAGCTGGTGCTCACCTCAGGCTCTGACCCTCTGACAGCTGCCTCCCTAACTAGCCAAATGAGCGCCAGGATGATACCCTCCTCCATCAGAGAGGAAACGTAAGAAACAGAAAACCCTGCCAACACAGGGCTTTGTATTTTGTAAAACGGTGAGCAGGAAATCATCACCTCGTTTCTAGTGTTTATTGTCTCTTGGCAAATAATCAATTGAAATCTCTACTTCTATCTCTTCCAAAATGCTCATAATTGCTACGATAAATTTAACAAGGGGCTCTCAGAGGGCTCAGAAGGAGGTCCAGGTGTGTGCACTCAGGACTGAGTCACAGGAAGCAGCCCATTAAGTGAGACCCTCCGGCCACAGTTCAGCGAAGGGCCCTGGCCCGCAGACCGAGGGCGAGCAGGGTGGGGCGGGGCAGACCAGAGCGTCCCCTGAGTAAACAGCAAGGTCTCCGGAGCCGCAGACTCAGCAGGTAAGGGAGGAAGCTGTAGGGCCTCTAACCTGCCTGAAGCGAGGCCAGACAACACTACTTTCAGCCAAACTTGAGGATGCTGTCATCATCCCGTTTTTTTAACGAGTGGATGTGAGCAGGGCTCAGCTATCAGGTTTCTGAATGAAAAGCTGAAGCGCCTCACGCATCTCCCCAGACAGTGGTGTCAGGCTTCCCCACTGCTCACTCTGCCAAGGTGAGAACGTTTTTTTCATTTTCTGTTTCAGGGGCTTCGATGTAAACAGAGGCAGCAGACGGGTTTCACGTCACCAGGCAAGTGAGCCGTGCCGCTGGTTGGTGGACGGGGCGGGTGCAGGGCTCAGCCGCCAGTGGCGTGCCTGCTACTGAGCAGGGCCTTCCTGCCTCATGCTCCAGGACGCCGCTGAGGGCCAGCCCACTCACCAGCTTGTTCCTGACGTCCATGTCGCAGAGGGCCTCCGCCAGGATGGAGCAGGCCTCCTTCACGCCCCAGTGCGCGGCCGCGTGCAGCGGGGTCCAGCCGTCGTGATCCTGGACATTGAGCTCATAGCCAGCCTGAATCAAAAGCCTGAGGAGAACCCAAACAAGACACTCAGATCCCCTGCATCAGGGTTCTCTGCCCAACGCACAGTCATCCGTCTGATGTTGCAGACCCTGGCCCCGACCCCAGGTCTGGCCTCTCAAGCATCAGCGCAGCTGTCACAAGTGAGCCCCCCACCCCCCCGAGACCACATCAGGCTGCAGCCACGTCACCCCCCAGCACAGAGATCACTCAGAGCCCCGCCCCTCATCCTCCCCCCTCCTCCCGCGCCCGCTCTCCGGGTGGTCTGCCACCTCCCCCCACAGGAGTGTCTGCAGGGGCTCCCACTGAGGCTGCGGGGCACGTGGAGGCCAGCAGAAGCCCCGGCTGACGGAGGCAGCGCCGCCGCGGGCCTCCAGAGAAGCAAGTGAGGGAACCCTGCCCTGGAGACAGGCGCAGTGACACCCAGCACACAGAGCAGGAGCCTCGTCCGGGACACGAGCAGTGAGAGCGTCTGCTGACGGACATACGCGGAGCCGCCAGCAGCCCGTGCTGCGCAAGCCTGGCGGCCCCGAGGCTCCACACAGCAGGGGGACGCACGGGGACGGGGAGGCGGACAGGAGGCCAGACCCCTCCCGCGTGGGCGACCACCCTACTCCAGGGAGTACAGCTCCCCTGAAACCTACGCCCCAGCCTAACGAGGACACAGGGATGCGTGTCTGCTTGTACTGCAGCGGGGTGGGGGGAGCAGGGAGGCCGGAGATGAACCGCAGAGCAGCAGGAGACCCGCAGGCCCCTCCAGGCCGGCCACCCAACTCCGCTTCCCGTCAGAGCGCCAGGAGAAACCAGGTGAACTACCCTGCAGGTACAGGAGGAGGTGGTGCGGTGGGAGGAGGATGGGGAGGGGGGACGGCGTGGGGGAGAGAGGATGGCGTGGGGGAGGCAGGTACAGGAGGAGGTGGTGTGGTGGGAGGGACACCATGGAGGGAGGAGGATGGGGAGGGGGGACGGCGTGGGGGAGAGAGGACGGCGTGGGGGAGGCAGGTACAGGAGGAGGAACGTGGGGGAGGAGGGCGGGGAGGACAGCGCCTCCGCTGAGAACCTCACCCCTGCGTCTGCCCCTGGCTGCGTGTCCCGGCCACCGTGCGGACCCACCTGAGGACCTCGGAGTAGCCCTTGGCCGCAGCCACATGCAAGGCAGTGGCCCCCGAGCGCGCCTGCCTCACGTCCACGATCCTGCCACTGTTGAGCCACTGGCGGGCGTCCTGCAGCATCTGCTGCTCCTCCTGCCTCCGCGCCTGCTCGAGATCCAGCCCTGCGGAGGCACGCCGGACAGCTGCTCAGCCGCCGCGACCTGGCTGGCCTGCCTCAGGGCCGACAGCTGGCAGCAGCTCTGTCACCGACCTGGGTGCTCAGCCAACTTACTCTGCATCAGAAGAGCCACCCCGCCAGGGAGAGGCCGCTCAGCTAAAACAAACAGCACAGACGGCAGGCCCGCTAAGGCCGGCACAGTGCTCTTACCCTTAATTAAGAACGTGAAGACCGGAGGGCTGCTACTGTGTAACGCCTGTAAAAGGACACGCCAATCTTTCCACACGTGAAGCCGTCTGAGCCCCCCCACAGTCCTCTGAGGCGAGTATAACGGTGTCACCACCCCCACCAAACAGAGGGGAGAACAAACGTGCGGAGGTCAGGCGGCTCATCGGGGCCACAGAACATCACCTCCTAGGCCCCGGTCTGCTCCTCCTCCCCTTGCTACACCCAAGACTGGGGTCAAGAATCTCAGTTCCAGGTATCACACACTTTTATAAATCAACTCCCTCTAAATCTCATTTCCCTGAGTAGAGAAATATGCTGAGCGAAGCGATGTGGCCTAGAGTTGAGGAGTAGGTGAGCACAGAGACACGTGTGAGGGATCCTGTTTCCCTTCAGAACATTGCGGACAAGTTATTAAATGTGACCATTTTCAGCTCGGCAGGCACTCGGACTGTCACAGCGCCTCAGCTCTGCTGCTGGAGCAAAGGCAGCCTTGGGTGGTGTGTGAACGCAGGCCTGCCTGGCCTGCAGGGATGGTGCCAGGAAGGTCACAGGAGAGAGACCGCCGGGGGACTGCAGACTGTGGGTGCGTTGGGCTCCCAGAAGCTCGGCACGTCCCCACATCTCGGGCCCACACAGCCCTGTGGCGCTTCCAGCAGACGCCCTAAGGCCTGTCCTCCCTGCCCGTAGGCCTGGCATTACTCGCAACTTTAAAAATAAAAGAACCCAAAGACCTCCAGTCGGAGAATCCTGACCTGTTCTCTGAAGTGGATTCTTCTGAAAATATAAAGTAAGTATTTTCAGAGTTTCTTCTTCTAATAGCTTCCTCACCGTAACAAACTACCAGAAATTTTCACGATCAGGATGGTTAAAGATCACTTCAGAGGTTGCAACAAACATCCCACCAGCAGCACGTTCAGCTCTCCTCAAGAACAAAGGTGCAAAGTCAGAGGACTGGCTAGTACTCAGAGGGACACGTGCCTGCTCCTCTGCGGACCTCGCCGTGGACGCCGGGCCGGCACTGTGTGCGCAAGAGGAAGCTGGTGCGCCCTCCTCAGTCTGCCCTGCGGCGTCACAGCCCACCGGCCGCCTGACTACACACGGTGCGTGGCCCAGGGCTGCAGGGATGGGCTGGCTGCGCGTGCCTCTGGAGTCTGGCCTGGCCGATTCACGCGCGAGGACTACCAGGGCACGTGCCGTGGGCAGCGACGGCTGACGTGAGCTGACAGAGCGCCACACGGTGATGCATAGGCCCTCTCCTGCCCTCCGACCCCTCAGCTCACCTTGCTTCTTCACCTGTTCCAGAAGAAGGTCCTTCATGGCAGGCTCTTCTGCAAGGTCAGAGGGCACTTCACCTTCGCTGTTGACGATGCCCACGCTGGCTCCGTGGTTAATGAAATACCTATGCAGACAAGATCAGAATCAGCACCCTCTCCAGTGTGAGACCAACAGCGCTCCTGCGCCTGGGCTCTGCGCAGAGCATGGCCCCGTCTGGAGTTTTCCTGTGGTCCCAGGAAGGGCACTCCACTAGCATTCAACCATCAGGATCAAAGCGTCTCTATTTCCTGGTAAGAACAACGCCTGCAAGTGGGGTTTCTCACACTCATGTTTCTGAACCCCATTCTCTCACTCCCAGTGGGCAGCAAGGCATTTTGTAAACACAAGGGAGACATGCCACCTTGAAGCTCGCCCCCAGGCTGAGGTCCAGCCCAGGCTCCCAGGAGGACTCAGGACACCGGAGATCTGAGAGTGGAGTCCCCAGAGAGACAGAAAGGAGTGACCCTCACAGACACGCTCCCCATTCCCACCGAGAGCACATTAAACAGTGCTAGGGCACGAAAACAGAACAATAAAGGACAAATTAAAATGTTCCTGGATCTGCCTAAGTTACACATCCACAGAACTCTCCCTTCAACCAGCCATCTCTGTGAAATCTACACTCTAAGCAGAAATTAAATGACTAAAGAAATAAATCAGTACATTCTAAATAATTAGATTCTATATTGAAAGCCAATACAGTGTTGGATCCTAAAGAAGAAAGGCCTGATAACTTTAATATCTTACACAGATCCTTTTTGATTGTCAAAGTACTTTCATGTACAATTATATAATGAGTTTTAAACAACTTTAGGAAGTAGGCTACCTGGGTACTATTAGAGGTAAAGGACAGAGGTTATGGCCCCGTCTTCTGACTTCAAATCTAGTTCATCTTGGCACTATATCAAGTTACTCTGGGGCCAGTGAGAACCCCAACAATGCCAGAGTGCTCCCAAATACAAGTATTTAAAAGAGAAAGAAAAACTACTTAGACTTCAACTAATCAACAATGCAGTAACCATTTGCAGGTCCCCTTCTACGTTTAAAGGGCACTCATTTTAGGCACACTGAGGCTCCCCTTGGGGCTCACTGGTAAAGAACCCACCTGCCAATGCAGGAGATACAGGTTCAATCCCTGGATCAGGAAGATCCCCAGGACAAGAGAATGGCAACCCACTCCATTATTCTTGCCTGGAAAACCCAGGGACAGAGAAGCCTGGGGGGATACAGTCCATGGGATCATGAAGAGTTAGACACGACTGAATGACCAAACAACAACAACATTTTAAAGACAATGCAGAAGATTAAAAAAAAATACTACATGGCCACTGCATTCAGGAGCTGGCAGAGGAGAATCTGCAGCTATTATTAGACTTAGAGTACATTTTTCGAGGGTACTGCTTTCTCACTACTTAGTACCTGGTATAAACAGAGCATCCATAAATGTGTCTACCTTACAGGTGGACTGCACATATATAAACTCATCTGACTTTCAGCCGTCTCCACTCTCCCTTCACAGACTCAGGAGGACAGACCCTCCACTGAGGCTAGCCGCTCCCTCTGCTCTCCTTAACTGCACTAAGGCCACCTGCTGCCCTTCACGTCCATGCTCCTTCACCTCCCAACCCTGAGAAACCAAAATGCAAAAAATACATAGGGTGAGCACAGGATACATGCTCCTGGACTGAACTGCACCCTCTCTGCTCACCCTGAACCCTGCGCTCTCCTAGAGTCAGCACTGCATACTCACATCTGGACTGATCTGCACCCTCTCTGCTCACCCTGAACCCTGCGCTCCCCTAGAGTCAGCACTGCACACTCACATCTGGACTGATCTGCACCCTCTCTGCTCACCCCGAACCCTGCGCTCCCCTAGAGTCAGCACTGCACACTCACATCTGGACTGATCTGCACCCTCTCTGCTCACCCCGAACCCTGCGCTCCCCTAGAGTCAGCACTGCACACTCACATCTGGACTGAACTGCACCCTCTCTGCTCACCCCGAACCCTGCGCTCTCCTAGAGTCAGCACTGCATACTCACATCTGGACTGATCTGCACCCTCTCTGCTCACCCTGAACCCTGCGCTCCCCTAGAGTCAGCACTGCACACTCACATCTGGACTGATCTGCACCCTCTCTGCTCACCCCGAACCCTGCGCTCCCCTAGAGTCAGCACTGCACACTCACATCTGGACTGATCTGCACCCTCTCTGCTCACCCCGAACCCTGCGCTCCCCTAGAGTCAGCACTGCACACTCACATCTGGACTGAACTGCACCCTCTCTGCTCACCCTGAACCCTGCGCTCTCCTAGAGTCAGCACTGCATACTCACATCTGGACTGATCTGCACCCTCTCTGCTCACCCTGAACCCTGCGCTCCCCTAGAGTCAGCACTGCACACTCACATCTGGACTGATCTGCACCCTCTCTGCTCACCCCGAACCCTGCGCTCCCCTAGAGTCAGCACTGCACACTCACATCTGGACTGATCTGCACCCTCTCTGCTCACCCTGAACCCTGCACTCTCCTAGAGTCAGCACTGCACACTCACATCTGGACTGATCTGCACCCTCTCTGCTCACCCCGAACCCTGCGCTCCCCTAGAGTCAGCACTGCACACTCACATCTGGACTGATCTGCACCCTCTCTGCTCACCCCGAACCCTGCGCTCCCCTAGAGTCAGCACTGCACACTCACATCTGGACTGATCTGCACCCTCTCTGCTCACCCCGAACCCTGCGCTCCCCTAGAGTCAGCACTGCACACTCACATCTGGACTGATCTGCACCCTCTCTGCTCACCCTGAACCCTGCACTCTCCTAGAGTCAGCACTGCATACTCACATCTGGACTGATCTGCACCCTCTCTGCTCACCCTGAACCCTGCGCTCCCCTAGAGTCAGCACTGCACACTCACATCTGGACTGATCTGCACCCTCTCTGCTCACCCCGAACCCTGCGCTCCCCTAGAGTCAGCACTGCACACTCACATCTGGACTGATCTGCACCCTCTCTGCTCACCCTGAACCCTGCACTCTCCTAGAGTCAGCACTGCATACTCACATCTGGACTGATCTGCACCCTCTCTGCTCACCCTGAACCCTGCGCTGCCCTAGAGTCAGCACTGCATACTCACATCTGGACTGAACTGCACCCTCTCTGCTCACCCTGAACCCTGCACTCTCCTAGAGTCAGCACTGCACACTCACATCTGGACTGAACTGAACCCTCTCTGCTCACCCCGAACCCTGCGCTCTCCTAGAGTCAGCACTGCACACTCACATCTGGACTGATCTGCACCCTCTCTGCTCACCCTGAACCCCGCACTATTCCCAAACACAACAGCTCACTTGCCTCCCACAGTTTGACACTCCCTCCAACTGATGAAACACCCTCCCCTCCCCTCTTTCCTGCTATTATTAGAAAGTTTCCAAGTCTTTCAAAGCCCCTTTCAGAGGCCTTTCCATGTTCTGACAACCGAACCTTCCCTCTTCTTCCTTGGACTCCGCCTCCCGCACTAAGTCTGGGCCTCGGTCGTGACACACGGAGATGTCGAAGCCGCCCCCACCAGCTGACTGCAGCTCCAGGACAACAGCTGTGTCCTCCTCACGGGCATCACCGCCATGACATCCAACGTGCACTCTCTCTTAGCAACCCACAAACACTGCGTGAAATAAACACAACGTCGAACTGCTCCGCTCTGACACCTTTCCCATTCTTTACTGGGTCAGGGGCAAGGTCACTCGGGCACAAAGGCCCTGCTTCTCCCTTTCCTGAGAAGTTCTTGGACCCTGATGGAGACGACTCCTGTCCAGAAATGACCTGGGTCTCCCTGAATCAGAGAGATGAGTGCCAAGTGAGACAGCACCGCCAGACCATCCTCATTCTGGGGGCAGGCTAATGAGGCGGAACCTCTCCAGGTTCACACTGTTACCTGAACAACAAGTATCAACCGATGAAGTCTCCTTTCCGCTCTGACCACGCAGTGCAGCACGATGGGACCCACGCCCTCTGCAGTGGTAGTACAAAATCTTAACCACTGGACTGCCAGGGACATGTCTATGAAGTGATATTTATTTTAATCCTGAGGATCTTTACAGTTACCCTGAGGCTCAGAAATACCTGTTAGCTCAATAAACATGTCCTTAAGAAAATAAAGCCTCTCTTGGGATTCCCTAGACGTACATTAGGACGCGGTGCTTTCACAGCCACGGCCCAGGTTCTATCCCTGGTCGGGGAACTCAGATTCCACAAGCCATGCACAGCTTGGCCAAAAAAGAAAAATAAGAAAGAAAGAAAATAAAGCCTCTGTGTTCCTCTTAACTCACCACCTACGTAAGGTCTTTTTGCTACTATTGTAAGGGGTGAACAAAGAAAACGAGATGTGTTCAAAAACTCAGAAGAAATTAGCACCACTAATATAAACAATAAAACCAAACTAAATGCTGTCATTTGGGTCAATCTGCTGCTTCTAAGTTAAACACTTAGTGGTAACAGAAATGTAAGATACCCAGCTAACTAGCAATAAGCCTGAATTCCAAATGAGGAATAAACAGCCCCTAAATCTCTTTTAAAAAATATATCACACAGGGTTGAAATATGAGACTAAAAAGGGTCATCACACTAGAAGGCACTGATTCTTCCCTAGAAAGCAAGTCTGGCTATTCTTCATTTCCACTTGCTTGAATTTTAGAGTTTCTAAAGATTCTGGGAATGAGAGTATAGTTTAAGGTTTCTAAGATACAAAAAGCAAAACAAGGGAATGACTGCACTAATCGTCTCTGAAATACCACTCACAGGCCCCACGGTCGAGGCCCTCAAAGGCGGGCAGCGGCAGGGGGAGCTCTGCGGGGTGGGGGTGGGGGTGGGGGCAGGGGGCTCTGCGGGCCTGGGAAGGCGGCCGCACAGACAGGCGGTCAGCGATGCTCGGGAGGGCGAGGACGGCCCGCAGCAGCCAGCGAGGCCTGGTCTAGCTCACGCCTCCGGGCAGGCCTGCACATGTCTGACTGGTTATCTGTGCGTGAGGAGACGGTGACTCTCACCATCCGCTTCATTCAAGGCAGCATTTGTTCAGGCAACAGACACTTAAATGCTGAACTTATTTCCAAAGGAACTATGTTCATCCATAAAACCAGGGTAAAGAAACCACGGCAACAGAGCGATGACAGTTACTGTCTGTCCTCAGCTTCACTTTAAAAGGAGGAAAAGAGATTCCCAGGGTTAGGCCAGCACGAGGCGCCCCGACACCAGGCCGAGCTCTGCCTCTCACCTTCTCAGGGAAAAGCAGAACCCTGATGGAGTGAGATGTGGTAGCTCAGAATCACAAACAAGCCACCCGAACAGACAGTCAAATACCAGTGAGGAGGGACGAGCACGCTCTGTTCACAGTTCTCAGGTAAATGGGCATCTCTGCAGAGGCTGCCTGAGGGTGAGCGGCTTGGGCTGAGGGGCCGCCCCGGAGGGGAGCTCTCCTGTGGGCGCCCACTCCTCAGGACTAGCGGCGTCTGTCAGCCCGCCGCCTCTAACTCCCTGCAAGCAGCCCCCCACCGCGGGACCCGGCGAAGCGGCTTCCGTGGGGCTGCTTCCAGGCCTCTGCCCACACAACTCACCCTGCCGTCCAACAGGAGGGCTATAATGGGCTCCAGGCCTGCGGAAAGGGGCCGTAAAACAACTCCGCTGACTTTCAAAGGACCACAGGAGACCACAGCTTTACTGAGAATTTACCTTAGCAATCCACGGTTATTCTCATCTAGAACACATGTGACTGCCTTATTTTAAAGGTGTTTTTAAAAGTCTCTTATCTCCCTGGCCACCCGTTCACTAAGCAGACACTCACTCCGCACCCCTTCCAGCCCAGACACTGTGTGGTGGGTTCTTCTACACAAAGGGTGTGGAGAAGCTCTCCAGGTCTGCCCCAGGCGTGTCCAGCTACAGTCGCTAGAAATGGAGCCCAGACGATGCAGCCAACTGAAGCCACCTCTGCCTATCCCAACAAACACGAACCATCAACAGACAGAAGCAACCACAAAAGCTCAGCTAAAACGCTGCAGATTTAGCAGCTATGTAAAGAGCAGTTATCAAGTAGTCCTTAAAATAACTCAACGGCCCGCTTTCACCACTGCAGTAAAGAGCGGCCTCGGCTGTGTGTGACACTCAGACTCGCGAGCAGGGCGCGCGCCCGCCCGTGCCGCCGGCACACTCACTCTGCTATGTTGAGGCAGCCACAGGAAGCTGCCGCGTGCAGGGGCGTCCAGCCCTCGCTGTCCTGCTGGTTGACGCTCGCTCCGTTCTCCACCAGGAACTTCACCATGTCCAGGTTCTCGTCAATGCAGGCCTGCAAAGAAAAGCCCATCACTGACTCAGCAAGCACGTGCGGGGACTGTGCGGCGGTGTCAGCGAACAAGGCATGTCCAGCCCCTGCGTCCTGAAGAGTGTCCTGGGGGGCTGCTCAGCGCTGGGATCTTAGGCAAACCCCCGAACTCCCTCCCTGCCTCAATGCTCAGCTGTGAAAGCGGCATAATGGTAACTGATCGCATCACAGTGCCACGAGGACTAACCAAGGAGAGTGATCGCTGAAGTGCTGTTTCATCACGTTACCCAAGAGCGATGTCAGGAACCACTGATTTGCCTGTGCATCTTAAAGGCTCAAATACACCTTTCTCAGCAGGAAGCTGCAGTTGAAGTTCCAGGGCTGCTAAACCATCTCTGCTCTGGCGAGAGGGTGCAGTGAGCCTTCAAACAGAAGCAGTGTATTTCCTTTCCATGTACCTTCCAAACAGCTGCAGACAACACAGCAAGTATGTCTGCGCAACAGTCAGGAAGGCAGAGAAGCTTCCAAATAAAGGCTGCAAGCCCACTCTGAGCCATCAAGAAAAGCCACAAACAGCAGGGAAGGCCGCCAAGAGCCAAAGGCCGTCTGAGCACACCTAGAGGACAGAAGGGGGTGACAGACCACAGGGACAGAGGCGGCCGTCCTCCCCGCTGCGGTGGACCCAGAAGGGCGGGGACACTTCAGTGCCCAGAGACAAGTGAGATTCCCTTTTTAAAAACTTGTCTCTTAGCCCCTCCTACGCAACAGAAAAAGGAAAAAAAAAAAAAGTTAAAACTTTAGCGGAGAACAACTACCCAGGTCAAGCTGCCTTTGGTAACACTGTTAACACCTGACCTACCCCTCTCACTGGGCTGAGGCCTGCACTCAGACACACAGCCCCACGGGGAGAAGCCCGGGGGCCTCCGAGGAGGAAAACAAACGCTGAGGCCGGTTTCCCTCAGTAATGACCCTGAAGAGGCCCGTAACTAACCCTCAATCACGGATTCTCAGTGTCCTCAACGCTCTCTGACACAACAGTAAGCATGCACGCAGCCGTTCTCCACGTCCCGAGCTCAGAGCCAACTCTGAGCACAAAGCATCTGTGTATCTGCCCAAGCTCCCAGATGAACAAGCAGCTTTCTTCACAGATGCTGCTTTACTCAGAAGAACAAACAGGTAAACCTATGACGATCAGGGCTCGAAAATGAAAAGTGAGCCTGTCACTTCAAAAGAAAAGAAACCTAGTATTTTTTGCCAAGGACAAAATTTGGCCATCCAATTAAAATCAGAATTCTGAAAAAATACGCACTACCAAGAACTTGACAGCTTCCTAATATTCAGTTTTCCAATGTGACCAGTGGGATTATCAACAAAGGTGATTTTTTTATACTGTAAACAGAAATAGATACTAAGATCTGGAAGATCTGTGTAACTCAATGAACCTATATTTTCCACAAAATCAAATTCATGTGTGAGAAAACCAAGCAAGGTAAAAAGTCCACTCAAAACAGAGGTCAAATGCTGGCCTTTAACGTCACAAAGTAAGGAAACTCCACTGCCGTGGTTTCAGATTCCACACTGTGACTAATACTTGAGAAGCTACTCTTATTGGCATTTCAGGACAGCACCAAGGACACCCGTAGCTGTCTGAACAGACTGTTAAAATACTCCCCCTCTTCCAAACAGACACCCATGTGAGCCCAGATCTCCCTCATACACATTCATCAAAACAATTATCGCAGGAGACAGAATGCAGACACTCGCAGAGATTCGTACCAAGGTAGAGCAGAGCCGCTCTCCTCGCTGGGCCACCGTGCCGATGGACTATTTGGTTTCGGTTCTGAAAGTATACGGCCCTTTTCCACTGAAACACGCGGTTTCTACAAACATGTGATGGGCTATTGCTATTTTACCTCAATTATTAAGCGCACAGTTCCAAGACTTCTCAGTGATGTGTAATAACGCTTATGAACTGAAGCTCTTTGGGGCCCTGAACAAACTTTTAGAATGTCAAGGATCACCCAGATCAAACAGGTTGAGAACTGATGTCTTCAATGAGACATCCCAAGGGATGTTTTACGGTGATAATGAGCAACTGGGAAAGTCTGAGGGCAGGAGGATTAGATGGATGGTGGCATCATCGCCTCAATGGACGTGAGTCTGAGCAAACTCTGGGAGACAGTGAAGGACAGGGAAGCCTGGTGAATTGCAGTCGGGGGTGGGGGTGGGGTGGGGGCAGGTCACAAAAAGTGACATGACATAGCATGGGCAACCACTTAAACAGCAAAAGATTAACTACTGTGGGGGCGGGGATTCAAGCCAGAACTCTGAGGGTAACTACAATACTTAAGAAGGATCTATCCTAGCAAGAGCACTGAAAAAGAAACCTCTCCAGATAAACCTCATGTCAATCTCATTTAGAAACAAAGACTGGATGACAAGCAGTTGATTCAATCTAGAGGATATTTATTTAATTAGGTAATCTTGGCTGAAGATTCACTTTATAGCAAATAGATGGGGAAACTATGGGAACAGTGAGAGGCTTTATTTTCTTGGGCTCCAAAATCACTGAAGAGGGTGACTGCAGCCATGCAGCCATGCATGCTCCTTGGAAGATAAGCTATGACCAACCTAGACAGTGTATTAAAAAGCAGAGACATTAATTTGCCAACAAAGGTCCATCTAGTCAAAGCTATAGATGTGAGAGTTGGACTATAAAGAAAGCCGAGCCCCAAAGACTTGATGGTTTTGAACTGTGGTGTTGGAGGAGACTCTTGAGAGTCCCTTGGACTGCAAGGAGATCCAACTAGTCAGTCCCAAAGGAAATCAGTCCTGAATATTCACTGGAAGGACTGATGCTGAAGCTGAAACTCCAATACTTTGGCCACCTGATGCGAAGAACTGACTCACTGAAAAAGACCTGATGCTGGGAAAGATTGAAGGCAGGAGGAGAAGGGGTCAACAGAGGATGAGATGGTTGGATGGCATCACCGACTTGATGAGTTTGAGCAAGCTCTGGGAACTGGTGAAGGACAGGGAGGCCTGGCGTGCTGCAGTCCACAGGGTCGCAAAGAGTCGGACATGACTGAGCTGAACTGACTGAAGAAATCTGGGATAGACACCAGGTCACTCAGGTCTGACCTTAATCAAACCCCTTATGATTATATAGTGGAAGTGACAAATAGATTCAAGGGATTAGATGCAATAGAGTGCGTGCAGAGCTATGGACGGAGCTGTGCAACCCTGCACAGGGAAGCAGTAACCAAAACCATCCCAAAGGAAAAAGTACAGGAAGGCAGAGTGGCTGTCTGAGGAGGCCTCACAGCTAGGCTGGAAAAGGAAAGTGCAGGGCAAAGGAGGAAGGGAAAGGCACACTCAAATAAAAGCAGAGTTCCAGAGAATAACAGGGAGAGAGAAGAAAGCTTTCTTAAGTGAACAGTGCAAAGAACTAGAGGAAAACAATAGAATGGGAAAGACTAGAGATCTTTTTAAGAAAACTGAGATACCAAGGGAACATTTCATGGAAAGATGAGCATGATAAAGGACAGAAATAGTATGGACCTAACAGAACCAGAAGATATTAAGAAGAGGTGGCAAGAATACACAAAAAAAGGTCATAATGAGCTGGATAACACGATGATGTGGTCACTCACCTGAAGCCAGACATTCTGAAGTCTGAAGTCAAATGGGCCTTAGGAAGCATCACTACGAACAAAGATACTGGAGGTGATGGAATTCCAGGTGAGCTATTTCAAATCCTAAAAGATGATGCTGTGAAAGTGCTTCCAGCAAACTTGGAAAACTCAGCACGGGACTGGAAAAGGTCAGTTTTCATTCCAATCTCAAAAAAGGGCAACACCAAAAAATGTTCAAACTACAGTATAATTGCTTTCATCTCACACGCTAGCAAAGTAATGCTCAAAATTCTCCAAGCTAGGCTTCAACAGTACATGAACCGAGAAGTTCCAGATGTTCAAGCTAGATATAGAAAAGGCAGAAGAATCAGAGATTAAATTGTCAACATCTGCTATATCATAGAAAAAGAAAGGGAGTTCCAGAAAAACATCTACTTCTGTTTTATTGACTCTGCTAAAGCCTTTGACTGTGTGTATCACAGCAAAGTGTGGAAAATTCTTACAGAGATGGGAATACCAGGCCACCTTACCTGCCTCCTGAGAAATCTATATGCAGGTCAAGAACCAAGAGAACCAGACATGGAACAATGAACTAGTTCAAAATTGGGAATGGGATACATCAAGGCTATATATTATCACCCTGCTTTTTTAACTTTTATATGCAGAGTACATCACGAGAAACACCAGGCTGGATGAAGCACAAGCTGGAATCAAGATTGCCTGGAGAAATACCAACAACCTCGGATATGCAGATGATACCATTTTAATGGCAGAAAGTGAAGAGCAACTAAAAAGCCTCTTGATGAAAGTGAGAGAGAGTGAAAAGGGTGGCTTAAAATGCAACATTCCAAAAACTAAGATCATGGCATTTGGTTCCATCACTTCATGTCAAACAGAAGGGGAAAAAATGGGAGGAGCAGCAAATTTTATGTTCTTGGGCTCCAAAATCACCGCAGAAGGTGACTGCAGCCACGAAATCAAAGGATGCTTGCTCCTTAGAAGAAAGGTTATGACAAATGTAGACAGTGTTTTAAAAAGCACAGACATCACTTTGCTGACAAAGGTCTGTAGAGTCAAAACTATTGGTTTTCCAGTAGTCATGTTCAGACGTGAGAGTTGGACTATGAAGAAGGCTGAGCGCAGGAGAATTGATGCTTTCAAACTCTGGTGCTGGAGAAGACTCTTTATAGAGTCTCTTGGACAGCAAGGAGATCAAACCAGTCAATTCTAAAGGGAATCAACCCTGAATATTCATTGGAAGGACTGAAGCTGAAGCTCTAATACTTTGGCCACCTCATGTGAAGAGCAGACTCAATGGAAAAGATCCTGATGCTGGGAAAGAATGAGGGCAGGGGGAGGAGGGAGCAACAGAGCAGATGGTTGGACGGC